AAGCTTTCCATAGATACCAATATTGACCCGGCAGAATTGTCCTGGAAATCATATTCTCCACTGGAAATATCCTTTTCAATGGATTTTTTCAGAAATTGCCAAATACGGCGGAATCGGCCCGAACATGGTATCTTTTTTGCAATGCTAATGTGTAGTACACTTCATAAGCTTTCCATAGATACCAATATTGACCTGGCAGAATTGTCCTGGAAATCATATTCTCCACTGGAAATATCCTTTTCAAAGGATTTTTTCAGAAATTGCCAAATACGGCGGAATCGGCCCGAACTTGGTATCCTTTTTGCAATGCTAATGTGTAGTACACTTCATAAGCTTTCCATAGATACCAATATTGACCCGGCAGAATTGTCCTGGAAATCATATTCTCCACTGGAAATATCCTTTTCAAAGAATTTTTTCAGAAATTGCCAAATACGGCGGAATCGGCCCGAACTTGGTATCCTTTTTGCAATGCTAATGTGTAGCACACTTCATAAGCTTTCCATAGATACCAATATTGACCCGGCAGAATTGCCCTGGAAATCATATTCTCCACTGAAAATATCCTTTTCAAAGGATTTTTTCAGAAATTGCCAAATAGGGCGGAATCGGCCCGAACTTGGTATCCTTTTTGCAATGCCAATTAGTAGTACACTTTATAAGCTTTCCATAGATACCAATATTGACCCGGCAGAATTGTCCTGGAAATCATATTCTCCACTGGAAATATCCTTTTCAATGGATTTTTTCAGAAATTGCCAAATACGGCGGAATCGGCCCGAACATGGTATCTTTTTTGCAATGCTAATGTGTAGTACACTTCATAAGCTTTCCATAGATACCAATATTGACCTGGCAGAATTGTCCTGGAAATCATATTCTCCACTGGAAATATCCTTTTCAAAGGATTTTTTCAGAAATTGCCAAATACGGCGGAATCGGCCCGAACTTGGTATCCTTTTTGCAATGCTAATGTGTAGTACACTTCATAAGCTTTCCATAGATACCAATATTGACCCGGCAGAATTGTCCTGGAAATCATATTCTCCACTGGAAATATCCTTTTCAAAGGATTTTTTCAGAAATTGCCAAATACGGCGGAATCGGCCCGAACTTGGTATCCTTTTTGCAATGCTAATGTGTAGTACACTTCATAAGCTTTCCATAGATACCAATATTGACCCGGCAGAATTATCCCGGGAGACTTAATGGACATTGGACTTGTTCATCCAGTTGCGTTATTGGCACTAATTATTTTTCGCCAAAACTACCTTATAATATTTTTGAAACTTTAATAGATGAAATTATCCATCATAATATCTTTATTTAGTTTAATTAATATATGAAATTAATAATTTCATGAACAAATCATTATTTGTTAGTAATTTTAACGATAACAGAGGTCTGTTAACGACACTGTTAACCCTATGTTAACACTATGTTAAAATATCTGTTCGCGTCTTTGCTAATTAAATTCGAATTTATCTAAATGGACCTTAACATTTTTAGATTTCGCACAATGGGCATCGATGATAACTTTTAAAATTTTACTAATATGAATTTTTTTAAAAAAATCCAAAATGGATTTTTATAAAATATGCATTTTCTGAAAGTACACCTAGTGGGCTTTCCAATGCCGGGTTCCATATAGCGGTAACATTTTTAGATTTCGCACAATGGGCATCGATGATAACTTTTAAAATTTTACTAATATGAATTTTTTTAAAAAAGTCCAAAATGGATTTTTATAAAATATGCATTTTCTGAAAGTACACCTAGTGGGCTTTCCAATGCTGGGTTCCATATAGCGGTAACATTTTTAGTTTTCGCACAGTGGGTCATTGAATTTTGATCCCTTAAAATTATTCAATTTTTTAAAAAAAATTAATTTAAAAAAATTTCCAAAATTGATTTTTATGAATTATGCATTTTCTGAAAGTACACCTAGTGGGCTTTCTAATGCCGGGTTCCATATAGCGGTAACATTTTTAGATTTCGCACAATGGGCATCGATGATAACTTTTAAAATTTTACTAATATGAATTTTTTTAAAAAAGTCCAAAATGGATTTTTATAAAATATGCATTTTCTGAAAGTACACCTAGTGGGCTTTCCAATGCCGGGTTCCATATAGCGGTAACATTTTTAGTTTTCGCACAGTGGGTCATTGAATTTTGATCCCTTAAAATTATTCATTTTTTAAAAAAAAATTAATTTAAAAAAATTTCCAAAATTGATTTTTATGAATTATGCATTTTCTGAAAGTACACCTAGTGGGCTTTCCAATGCCGGGTTCCATATAGCGGTAACATTTTTAGATTTCGCACAATGGGCATCGATGATAACTTTTCAAATTTTACTAATATGAATTTTTTTAAAAAAATCCAAAATGGATTTTTATAAAATATGCATTTTCTGAAAGTACACCTAGTGGGCTTTCCAATGCCGGGTTCCATATAGCGGTAACATTTTTAGTTTTCGCACAGTGGGTCATTGAATTTTGATCCCTTAAAATTATTCAATTTTTTAAAAAAAATTAATTTAAAAAAATTTCCAAAATGGATTTTTATGAATTATGCATTTTCTGAAAGTACACCTAGTGGGCTTTCAAATGCCGGGTTCCATATAGCGGTAACATTTTTAGATTTCGCACAATGGGCATCGATGATAACTTTTCAAATTTTACTAATATGAATTTTTTTAAAAAAATCCAAAATGGATTTTTATAAAATATGCATTTTCTGAAAGTACACCTAGTGGGCTTTCCAATGCCGGGTTCCATATAGTGGTAACATTTTTAGTTTTCGCACAGTGGGTCATTGAATTTTGATCCCTTAAAATTATTCAATTTTTAAAAACAAAATTAATTTAAAAAAATTTCCAAAATGGATTTTTATGAATTATGCATTTTCTGAAAGTACACCTAGTGGACTTTCAAATGCCGGGTTCCATATAGCGGTAACATTTTTAGATTTCGCACAATGGGCATCGATGATAACTTTTCAAATTTTAGTAATATCTATTTTTATTCAATAAAACCATGATTCATTTTTTCAGTTAAAGCGGTTTTAAATCGCTTTTGGAATTGCCTTTCCGGGAGTACCAATATTTTGCCTGTTTTATTTATATTTATTGCTCAATTGGTCATTGAATTGTTATAAAAACGATTTTAACATCTGTTATACTGAACTGAAATCTGTTATATGTGTCTTTGCTAAATTTGGTGGATTGAGTCTTTGCTAGTTAAAATCGATTTTATCTTCACGCACATTTTTTTTTTGTTTCTGTTATTTTGTCGCTTTTATTAATATTTTGCGTGATCATCTTAAGCGTGCATTGTGTTGTCTTTCCACGACATATTCGTTGCTGTATTCGCCACGAAGGTGCCGCCGCTGCTGATCAATGATCTCTGACATAATGGAGACTGGAAAAAATAATGCACTTCAAAACTACTTTTAAGTGATTTTAATGCAATTTACGATGCACCGTTATTATTGTACAAACGCACTCACATAAATATATTTTGCATGATCTACAGTGGAACCTGCAATTATTGAATATTTCAGACAATATACCGAAGTTAGAATATTTTGTATTTTAATTCATTTGCCATGAGCAGTTTTGTTTAATTGGGTTCTGAATTAGGTATCCTATCGAAGGTTTTACTGTAATTGATGTAGCAGCAAAAAACAGACAGACACCTCGACGCACATTGACTTTGTACATTTAGGTGTTACGGCTACTGCCGACTATTCACGAAAACAAAGACACCATCTGCCAAAAACTACCAAAAGAATTGTACAATAAAAGAAAAAGAAAAACACCAATCACATTTGACACTTACATCAATGGGAGCGGAAGAGACAGGAAGAGAGAAAGAGAGAGACAGGGCATTATTACAAACTCGAAGCGAATTGAGAGATACATGAAATGAAATGTAGCGGTAAATTACAAACGCAACAAATCATTGTGCGAAACACCGAACTGCTGACCGCCAAATCAACGTCATTATTTTAGGTGAATTGTTTTTTTTTTTTCTTCAATTTATTCTTTTCATTTAGCATTTAGTCAATTATCTAATACACGTGTTCGCCAATAAATATTTGTGCATTTTATATTTAAAAAAAAATCAATTAAAAATCGATTCGCAATGAGAATGTCCGACATTCACTGTTCTAAAAAACAAACAAAATAATTTATAAATTCCACTCCAAGTTAATTTTGAAGCACCAACACATCGAGCGAGTATTCCGAGTATTGGAATTTCATTGCCAAATGCGGAACACGGGGGATGATACGAAATACCACTAGAGAGGCTCTGCCTGATGGCATGCTGACTACTGGCATGACTGCCTACCTGTCGGCTCTGCCGCATTTCCGCCGTTTAAACGTCACTAACCAAAAACAAAAAAAAAAGAATTAAACACCCCCAAAATCAACGAAAACTCACACCAAACATATGGTTTTTAAATACAATAATTTATTTTTTTTCTTATTTTTGTGAATAATTTTGTGTGCAAACAAACCTTAGGCAAGATGAACGGATGGACTGGTTGGTTGGTCGGTCGGTTTGGTTCTTCCAATTTTTTACAATTGTTGATTGTATTTCATAACTTTGGTGGTATTATTTGGTATTTTGGCAAATTCTTCTTCTTGTTTCTTATTTTTTTTTTTTTTTGTTGTTTTTACTGAATTAAAACACACACTTATTTACACGAAAAAAATAAAACACAGCAAAAATCCGATCCAATCAGAATGTTGCTAAATAAAATTATTACTATTTCTTGGTGTTGTTGTTATTGTTTCTCATCGAAATTTGAATTTCGTACGGCAGTCACGATTACTTCTTCTTCTACTTCAAAGACTCACTGCCGCACACATTTAAAAAACAAAATTACCGTAACTTTAAAAGAACACACACGAACCACACGAAGGGCAAAAAAGAACTAAAGTGGGCTGGCAAATCGATTAGTGCCAAAAATCTGAAAATGTTTTGATTTCTATTTTTTCGATTGTTTGTTTTTCAGTCGATTATTTCCTACATCAGCTGTTGTATTTAAAGAGGGGTGTTGCCATTATTTTAAACTGATACAATAGCTGTGTTCAAACACGTTTCTTTAAATTTCGAGTAGTCGATAGCAGAGTCACCAACCATTTGTATACCCTCCACCATATGGTGGTGAGTGGATTTTAATATACCAAAATAATAAAATTTTAAAATCTGTTGGGAGGACATATTTAAGGAAAAAAGCCATTTTCACAGTTTTGTGTAGGTTCGATTTTAGTATTTTTATTCCCTCCTGTTATTATATTAAAGGTCTATTAACGCATGAAAATACATTTTTTTACTACGATAACATTTTTTCCTGTATGATATCGAGAAAATAGTACAAATTTGTAGATTACTGAAGTACGGAACATACCAATAATATGCAAAGTAGTAGTATTAGGTATTCCATTATTTGTTTCCAAGACCCCCACTAAATTGAACTCCTAGTCCCATCAGTTACCAGCAATACTGGTGTTCAAATCTTGATAAAGACTTCGTAAAAATATCGGCGATCATCTCGTTTGTGTTTAGATATTCGATATATAATTTCTTTTCTGCAACCAATTCCCTGATCAAATGATGTCTTATATCAATATGTTTTGAAGAATTTCCAAGCTTTTTAAATAACGATCATAACAATAATGCTTATTGCGCAGATGTAGTCATTGCCGTGTACTCGGCTTCGGTAGTAGACAATGTCGTTGTTGATTGTTTCTTCGAGTTCCATGAAATACAGTCATTTTAAAAGTAGATTTTATATCAACAAGGCTACCTGCACAGCCAGAAAAATATTCTATAAATTCAATGTAGACTTTCGAAAAAATATTCTATAAATTCAATGTTGTCTTTGAAAAAAATTGAAGTTTATATGCCATTGAAGTTTATAAGCCATTATGCCTTTGAGGTATCTCATTATCCATTTGACAGCTTCCCAGTGTGGTTTTCCATAATCAATGTTGTGCCTAGTACCCACTTCATGGTCCATTTTCGAAGATTTCATATGTTTTGTTAATTTTTGATTGACATCAAATGGTGTAGAAAAATAATACAAATACAACTCTGAATACGTTTTCAATATTTTTGAAGCGGACAGTAGATTTATACATATACAAATCCGCAATATGCAGAACATTTTTAAAAGTAACGTTTTCTTTCTTGGAGTTTCCCAACAATGAGAACATGTGGGCATTTCCAATTCCATTAACACACATTGAAGAATTATTTGCTCTGATTACCTCAGAAGTTGTTTGTTCATATCGATCACCGAACAATTCCTTACTTGAACACAAATGTTCTATGGCACCGGATTCGAAGTATCAATTATTGTTATTCTGTCTACGTATTGTAAACGCTCCCATTGCAGAATTCACACCATCTTTCTTTGTAAACACTTTTTTGGATGATTTGTTTTTGCCATCGTTTTTTGGCGAATATGGCTCGATATGTTCGAGTATTCGGACTGTTAATTGGCGAATCAAGACGCACAAACTGCGGTAGAATTAGTTATGACATAACCATAATGTCATATCAATCAGCTGATTGAACAAAACATATAGAAATCAATGCATTCGACTGGCCGAAATGGACCTCATCACTGAAGAAAATTATGACGGAAACGTCGGAACCCTAGAAAAAAATAAAAGAGGTTGGCACTCCTTCAAAAGCAACAAAAGAATTGTGAATTCCTGAGGCAGAATAATTTAAAAATTATTATTTAAATTTATTTTCCCTATTAAATTGTTCATTTGACATATTTTTTTATTCATTTTTTATTCCGCATTTACATAGAACTAGCCCCTTGCTACCCGGAATATGAAAACGTTTTTCTAACACCAAACTAATAGAATTGCATTAGATTCGTGCAGGTTCTGAAGCAGAGCTAGAGTATTGAGGTTATGTTCACACCGAAGTGCTAGTTATTTTAGTAAACACATCTCATTAATTTCCAAATCCGAGATTCTGAATAAAGAGGTGACATCTATCACTTATTTAGCATATTACTTTTTATTTAGTACTAAAAGCTTGCATGTGATTTTTAAAATGTACTGTACTGTCATAAAAGGGCATAATAAAATTCAAAGCATACCTTAAGGGAGTAAAGAAATGCATAGTAATAACACAACAACAGATGGCGCTTTTGAATTTAAAACAAAGAAAACAAGTTGTTTGATCTATCACAAAGATGCCACTTTTGAACGAAAATAGTACTAAAAACTGTTAGGGAAAAGTAAAAATATCATGAAACTTAGTGGCATCTATGTTTACAATTGTACTTCATAGTATTTCGTGGCTTTGATTGCATATTTTTAGGTTTCGTAAAAAACAAACCATATTTTACACTCAAAGATTCATGAGAGGACGATTTTGTCGTGTGGCCAACTAAAATGATATAGACATTTGTTAGTTATTTTTGTAATGACGTTAAAGCATTAAAATGACAATAGCAAATACACACACCATTTTAATAATACTACATTCAGCCCTTATAAGATATGAGATATTACTTAGCTGGCTTGTTACAGAACGGTTGTTCCATAAGCCGAGCTTAAAAAAAATTTCCAAGCGCGTCGGTCTTGTGCGCAAGTCCACCAATTTGGAAGACCACGTTCCAATATGTTGTTTTCTACTTGGTCTTTCCATCTAATTCGTGGCCTTCCCCTTCTACGGGAACCATCAGTAGTCTCATTTTTATATGCCTTTTGAGCTGGGGCATCTTCATTCATCCGCACAACATGGCCTAGCCACCGTAGTCGCTGCAGCTCAATACGACTGACTATGTCGATGTCCGCGTATAAATTGTAAAGCTCGTGGTTCATTCGACGCCGATATTCACCGTCGACGCAGATCGGCCCGTAGATCTTTCGGAGAATTTTTCTCTCAAACACCCCAAGCGCTGCCTCATCTGCTTGCGCAAGTGCGCAAGGCCTTGTTTCTAAACTGCTTACTTAGACCATAGTAGCATCTGTTGGCCATCACAATCCTTCTCCGAATTTCAAAACTGATGTCATTCGTTTTATTTATGGCGGTACCAAGGTATATAAAGTCTTTAACTACCTCGAAGCTGTAGTTCTCAAGTTCCACAGTTGGTCCGAGTCTACTGGACGTCTTGCGCGTTGATACCATCAGCTTGGTCTTCTCGCCGTTTACTGCCAGACCCACTTTGGCAGACTCCTTTTCAATTTGTTCAAAGGTGGCTGTTACCGCTCGCAATGTTCGACCCATTATATCGATGTCATCGGCGTAGGCGAGTAACTGGTGTTGTTTGGTGTATAGAGTGCCATTTCTGTTCACCTTTGCGTCTCGTATGACCTTTTCCAGTAGGATGTTAAAAAGATCACACGGCAAACTGTCACCTTGTCTGAATCCTCGTTCGGTATTGAAGGGCTCCGATAGGTCCTTTCCTACTTTAACGGCTGACCTTGTGCCACTTAAAGTTATCCTGCATAGCCGTATTAATTTTGCAGGAATGCCGAACGCAGACATGGCTTTAAACACCTCTGAACGGATAGGGCTGTCGAATGCGGCTTTATAGTCGACAAATAGGTGGTATGTGTCGATGTGTTTTTCGCGGGTCTTTTCCAGGATTTGGCGCAGAGTGAAAATCTGGTCAATGGTGGATTTGCCAGGTCTGAAGCCGCATTGGTATGGTCCGATGATGTCATTGACCATTGGCTTCAATCGTTCACACAGCACACTGGATAGCACTTTATATGCGATGGGATGGAGACTTATTCCTCTATAGTTGGCACATATCGTCTTGTCTCCTTTTTTGTGCACGGGACACAGGAAGCTGAGGTTCCAATCATTGGGCATGCATTCATCTAGCCAAATTGTGTTAATCAGCTGGTGCATGCTCCTGACCAGCATCTGGCCACCAGTCTTGAATAGTTCGGCTGGTAACCCATCGGCTCCTGCTGCTTTGTTGTTCTTGAGCCGATTAATTGATTTTATGACCTCATATTGTCTAGGTGGTATACACTCTATACCATCATCTCTTATTGGTTCTGGGGTATCTTCTTCATCGCCACTATTTGATACTAGTAGCTTTTCGAAATGCTCCTTCCAGATCCTCAACACGCTGTCTGTATCTGTCACCAGGTTTCCTTCTTCATCTCTATAGGAGGATGTGCCTGCACCAAAGCCTTCGGTTTGGTGTTTTACTCGTTGGTAAAATTTCCGTACTTCATTCTGACTCCTGTACATCTCGATTTGCTCACGCTCACGTTTTTCTTGTTCTTTCTTCTTTTTTCTGAAAACACGTTTCTCCTCTCTCCTTTTCTCCCGATAATTCTCCATCACGTTACGTGTTGCTACTGTCTGCAGGGTTGCCCTATACGCTGCGTTTTTCACATCAGTAGCATTACGACACTCCTGATCATACCATGGGTTTCTTGGTGGTGGTTTTTGGTACCCAATTGTTCTTTTTGCTGCAGTTTGTAGGGAGTGGGCAATTCTTTGCCATTGTGCTTCTATACTATTATCGGGACAAGAAGTGCTTTCTTCAAGCAGATGGGTAAGTTGAGCGGAGTAGGCCTCGGCTACCTGTTGTGTTTGCAGCTTTTCGACGTCGAGTTTCCGTGTTGCATTAGATCGCACCTTTGCTGCAACATTAAGACGGGTGCGTACCTTGGCTGCCACAAGGTAATGGTCCGAATCGATATTCGCTCCTCGGATCGATCGGACGTCTAAAACACTGGGTGAATGCCTTCCGTCTATCACAACATGATCGATTTGATTTCTCGTTACTTGATCAGGAGAAATCCAGGTGGCCTTGTGTATATCGAGATGCTTGAATCTGGTGCTGCTAACTACCATGTTTTTTGCTGCCGCGAAGTCAACCTCATGCCGTTGTCGGATGTTTCCTCATGAAGGCTGAATTTTCCGACGGTGGGGCCAAAGATATTTTCCCTTCCGATTTTTGCATTAAAATCTCCTAGCAGAATTTTAATGTCATGGCCAGGGCAATGGTCATATGCTGTTTCTAGGCGCTCGTAAAATATGTCTTTGGTCTGTTCATCTTTATCTTCGGTCGGAGCATGGGCGCAAATTAGACTGATGTAAAAGAACTTCGCTTTTATACGGATTATAGCAATTCGCTCATCTATTGGAGTGAATCTGGAGACAAGGTCTTTTATTCTCCTGTTAACCATAAATCCGCAGCCAAATTCATGTCTCGTTTCATGGCAGCTATAATACAGGGCGTAATCGTCTGATTTACTTACGCCTGTCCCTTTCCATCGCATTTCCTGTAAGGCAATAATATCGGCTTTGTACTTCTTGAGTATATCCGCCAAAGCGAACACTGCCCCTGTTTTGTACAACGCGCGCACATTCCAAGTGCAGATTCGCAGATCGTGGTCCTTTATACGTTTGCGGGGGTCGTCAACATTAGGCGGGTTTGGTTTTCTTTTTCTTTGCTTTTTCATAGTAGATTGATTTTTCCGAGAGTGGGCAACTAACCCGACGCCTCAACCCATTTTTTTATAGTTCTTATGGGTGAACTCGTGGCACATATTAGCTCACTATTTCATCGGGTGATGAGAATAGCTCCCCAGGTGGCACCGCGGGGAGGTCAGTGTCCACAATTGAGATGAAAGAGGGACCAAGATAAGCCTGGACTTCGCCATGTTAAAGCCAATCAGAGCCGTTGCTTGGTATCTATCATCCCCTACGCCACCCTGATATGGGATATAACTTGTTAAAATATGAAAATATATTTTTGTGTCCTAGGTGCTGTGTTTATTATATAATTTTTCCTCGATTTGTTTGAAATATTTTTTTATTCTAATCGCTTATGGCACAATAAATAGGTAGTCCATTTAGCGCAGCTGATGTCACGATTAACTGTCAAAGTGCGTAATTTCTACTTGATGTATGTGCAACGTTGCCAACCATGTGAAATATTATAAGGAAAATTTTGACAGATGATTAAACGGAACAGAAAATGTTCACGAATGAATCTTTGAATTTATGAAACAAGTCAAATTTGAAGGGAACATGTAATTTGCACATCTTGGAATTTTTAACTTTAATGTCGTAGATATAGAAAATATATACAGACAACACCTTCGGGACAATTAAGCCTGATGAACAATTTACTTACTTGTGTCAGAACGGCTGTTCCATATGCCGAACTTAAACAGATTTCCAAGTGCGTCGGTCTTGTGCGCATCTCATCCAATTTGAAACACCATGTTCCGAGATGTTGTCTCCTACTTGACTTTTCCATCGAATTCATGGCTTACTTTTATATGCCTTTTGAGCTGAGGCATACTCATCAATTCTCACAACATGACCTACATCTGACTATGTCGATGTCCGAGAATAGATGGTTGTCGACGCAGATCGGTCCATAGATCTTCCGGAGAATTTTTCGCTCTGTCCCATCTGCTTGCGCAATTACCCATGCTTTAGATCCATACAACTGCACGGATAGTATCAGCGTCTGGTAGAGTGTGAGTTTGGTCTGGCGAGAGGTGGCCTTGCATTTAGTTGATTACTCAGGTCGTAGTAGCATCTGTTGGCCATAGTAGCATCTGTATGGCGGTTCCGAGTTATATAAAATCGTTCACCTCGAAACTGAAGTTTTAAAGTTCCACAGTTTGTCCGAGTTTACTGGACTCTTGCACGTTGATACCATCAGCTTGGTCTTCTCGCCATTTACCATTTAAGATGGTTAGTCTGTATATAAAAAATGCGAATGGATCAAAAATTACAAGATTAACTAGTGATCAACAAATATTCATAAAACTACACAAAAATTCGAAATAAAATGTCAAAAATTAGAAATTCACTTTGTAAAGATCAGACGGATCATTTGGTCGAACTATAGGTGTCATCGCCCCGTGACATGAGAAAATTGTTCCTACTTTAGATCTTATAGCAAATAACACGGACTTTCGCGAAAGACTTCTACGGCTATCAAATATTAACTCCAGTACCTTAGGACATTTCCATTCAAGGTACCTCCAACTTTCCGATACAATTTTTGTACTACGATTAGTCAATTTGCAACAAAAAAAGTCTGTGCCGGTGATCTCCTTTTCTTTTGGCGAACATTTTATCTGAAGATCAAATCATTGAAGGTATCGAAAATATTCTATAGGTCAAGAACCTTTATTGTCAAATGTGTCCCCAAACATGGAGGGTGGTCGGATTCGACCTGGCATATTTCGTGGCACTCTCATCATGAAATCCAAGTGCTAAATATTACAACTCCGATTTTTCTAGTGTATATTCTCATATTCTTCACGGGAAAAGACTTCGAGATCGAATAGAGAGTTGTTCACATATCGTAAAATCATCAGAATGCTTAACGATCACATTGCAGTCAGGGGCAGTCATGCGCTGGTTTAGTCCTCGACTGATATGTGTGAAGATGGCGTGCAACGCTGTAATGTTTCTACGGTGCTTACGGGCCCATTTTTACATCTATTTTAATGATGTAGTTATTATCACAATTTAAATACATTTTTTTGTTTGAAATCTCAATTTAAAAACTATTTATTTTAAAAAAATCATACTTTACAAACATATAGTTGCCTAACTGTACTTAGAGTAAAGCTTACTTACTTATCTTACAATTATATAAGTCTTATACAAATAGTTGTCGAGATATAGATTGCTAGCCTTTTATTCCATTTCTTTGTTTGAATTTTTCATCGTGCGCCTAAAAATGAGGATGTAATAAAATTGTCAATAGCTTCAAAATCTGAAAAAATAAATTAATGGCCTGTTCTCATACCCATAAGAAACAGTCACAACTTTTCAAATATGCTCACCTTCTGGGCAATCTGTAGTAAACTTTCTGAGGTGGATTTCCCCGTTTGTTCAACCATATCGAGAAATACTTTCTTATCACTTTCCGTTAACAGTTCAAATGGGGAACCGAACTCAATCACCCGTCCGCCATCCATTACTAGCACTTTGTCCGAATCCATAATTGTATGTAGACGATGTGCTATCGTCAGGACGGTACAGTGTTTAAATTTATGGCGAATAGTTGTTTGTATCAATGCATCGGTTTGAGCATCGACATTGGCGGTGGCCTCATCCATAACCAAAATACGATTTTCGCGTAAAATAGCTCGGGCCAAACAGACCAATTGACGTTGACCAACACTGAAATTGGAACCACCTTCGGCTATTTTAGTTTCCAGACCACTTTCCAATTCGGAGACCACTTTTTTTAGTTGGACCTAAAGAAAATACCACACAAACACCATGAAAGAAAACTCCAGTACCTAAATAATAATGAAGTAGCTATATACCTCCTCCAAAGCTTCCCATAATTTTGCATCGGAATATTCACCAAATGGATCTAAATTATAGCGCATTGTTCCCGAAAACAGTACAGGCTCCTGAGGTATAATCGATATTTTACTACGTAAATCATGTAAACCCATTGTTTTGGTATCACGTGAATCAATGATAACGGAACCATCGGTATATGACAAGCGGAACAGAGCATTGATCAGTGATGATTTACCAGCCCCAGTGCGTCCAACAATGCCCACCTTTTCTCTTGGCTTAATAGCAATATTAAGAGACTTTAAAACATATTCTGATTTTGGATCCGGATCATAACGCAAACTCAATTCATTAAATATGATTTTGCCAGCTTCCGGCCATGTTTCTGGAGGTTTCTTATCCTCCTTCGATTCTAATTCACCCTCAGGTTGTATGTCATCATATTCCACAACTCGTTCTACGGAAGTCATACCATTTTCCAATTCAGCAGATTGTCTCATACCCCACTGTACCATACCAGTCAAACTCATGACTTGGGTAATGGCCAAACCCACATCTCCACCATTCTCGGGGGTAAAGATAAAGAAACTCAATGTAACAACAGCTATAAATAGCACACAACAACAATCCAGCCAATAGCCGAATGCACGCGAAGTGGTAGAGAAAAGAAAAAACGCCGAACTATGTAGATCCTGATAGTTATCGAATTCCTTGATCAGAATACGTTGGGCGCCAAATGCGCGTATTGTTGAGAGGCCAGCCATGGAGGCACCCAAATGTGAATAGATGGGGGAACGATCTGCAAGGAAACCAAAATGTTATTATCCTTCAAAAATTATCTCACAATAACCCTACTTATAGCCTCCAGTCGTTTTACACTTCGAGATGTTTTCAAATAGAATGCCCTAAGATTATAAAATATTAACACCAGAACCATTGTGGGCAACAGGTACAAAGGATTTATCACAGATATAACAACAACAATAGCAAATATCGATAGGAAAATTTGTATGGCATCGATCATCACAGACGGTAGATTTTCATCGATTTGACCCATATCCTTGGAGAAACGATTCAAAATTCGCCCAGAGGCATTTGTATTGAAGAAGTACATGGAGGCCCGTATTATACCCCTAAACATGGCATTGTGTAAATTTTGTGAGGCTCTCATGGCCATATTGAAGAATACAAAACTTCGTGTAATTGTTAGAACTATTGTGGTCACTGTTATAATGGTGAAGATGTAAATGTCAAGCATGTCCGATTTTACATGAATACCGTACTGGGATAGCCAATTTGAAAGACTTGATTCCGTTCGATATGATGGTGACCAAATAAATGGTTCCGTCGGTGTGGTAGTTGTTCCATTCGCGGTAGCATTTAGATACGCAACTAATTCGACACGATTGGTTTCCTCGGTTCTTTTCTTATTGACCCTAAAAGGAAAATACTAAAGTAGAATACAATTCATCAATAGCTTTTGCTTATACTCACCAATAAGACAAAAAGTAATCGCCACACGAAGCCAAGCCCTGAGATACTACACAAAACATTAGCATAACGATAAACATAAAAAATCCACCTCCAGCTTTGAAATATTTCTTATAGAGATCCAATCCAATTTTGCCTTCTTCTTGAGTTTCCTCATCCTGGCGAGGTGTATCCTGATATACTGAATCGGCAAGGGAATTAATGGATGTCACACTACTTCGACGATCTTTCACTTGGCTTTCGGATCTGCTACGAGTTTTTGTGGCTTCCATGGAATCTTCATTTGTGGTATTTGTCAGCATTTGAGCAAAATCATGACCATTTTGGGAAAGAGATTCATATGACCCCATTGCGCAAATACGTCCCTTATCCATGATAACAATTTGGTCGGCTGATTGTAAGTATTGCAATTGATGTGTGACCAGGACAACGATATTGTCACGCAACAGGCCACGCATACATTTGTCGAATAAATGACGTCCCACGTGGGTATCAACGGCACTGAGAGGATCATCTAGAAGATAAATTGATGTTCGACGATATACAGCTCTTGCCAAACTGATACGGCCTTTTTGTCCCCCCGACAAGGAGGCACCGCGTTCACCCACAATGGTTTTATCGCCATAGGGCAGCAATTTAAAATCCTTTTCCAAGGCACACTTTTTCACCACAGCGCGATAACGACTTCGATCCATAGGTTGTCCAAAGAGAATATTTTGTCGTACAGTACCAGTGAAAAGCCATGGTTCTTGAGAGGCGTACGAAAAGGTGCCATTAACTTTAATTGTTCCCGCTGCTGGTTTCAATTCTCCCAGGATACTTTGTATTAAACTTTAAAGGGTAAAGATGGAAGTGATTAGGGTGGATGTACCAAAAGTAAATAAAGAAGACAAGAGATGAGACAAATTGACAAGTCGCAGCCGATGTGCCATTGATTCGTCCTCCAACGTCAGCAGAATTAGATGGACAGTCAGTATTCAAAATTTCGCTATTTTATTCTGGACTTATTTCATGAATTAATGTTCGTTCTGCTTGGTCATCCGCCAACTTGTTAGAACATGGTGAAAGAGTTTATTCATTTTGATCTAAAAATATACTTTCCCTAATTGGACATCGACTATACTCTACCTTGCACCACTAGACAGTAGAAATCACTAGTATTTGCTTTCGTTTTTTAACTTGTTCGTGTTTCATAATAAGAACATCTCTACTCATAACTATAGCGCCATCATGAGGCTGTGTAGTTCCTCTACTGAAGCCAGGGAATGATGCCAGCAGACCACACATGTAAGCAGAGGACTTAAACAGAACAGGCCGTGCGACTGAACAGTCTTAGTGGCTCTTGACTTATCGAAAGCCTTCGATACTGTCAACCACGCCAAGCTGTTCGAGGACATGGAGAAGACCAACCTCCGGCCTAGTTTGAAACGTTGGATAATCAATTGCATGGGTGGTCCCCAGTCTTATGTGGAATTCAGAAACAAGGAGTCTAAACCCCGTAGAGTGAAACAGGGAGTTCCCCAAGGTGGGACCATATCTCCGCAACTGCTTAACCTCTATATTTCTGAAATGCCACAACCACGGGACGGCATAGAGATCGCAATGTATGCGGATAATTGTACGAACTATTATCTATGACATCGGTGAAAGGTTAAATGACTATATAGCTAATTTAGTACAGTTCTTCCACCTGAGGAATATGAAGATAACCACCGCCAAATCCACAGCCATTCTATTCACCACATGGACGGCTGAAATGAAGCTCTCTCTGAACATCGTGGTCGATGGTGCAATAATTCCGACCACAAACTATTCGATAGCTTAATTAAGTCGTCCGCGCAAGCCACCGCTATTTGCGATAAGTTGAGAAGCAGGAATAAGATCCTCAAGTCGCTTGCCGGCAGCTCTTGGAGTGCTGATAAAGAAACCTTGCAATAGGTCGGTCGGTGGTAAGCAATGCGGCGCCAGTGTGGTTCGTGAATGTAAGCGATACACAGTGGAAAAAAACATTCAAACCTGTCAGAATGCCGCCCTGAGAACTGCGAATGTGTGCCTCCTTATGACGCCAGTGGACCATTTAAATGAGGAGGCAATTGTCTTACCCGTACATCGTCAAAACAGGATGTTGTTGATGCTGTACGTGTTTGGGTGTTATCGCAGGAATCATGCCATGCCATCATCTTATGGATATAATTCCCCCAACCAGGTATTTAAGGAGATACCTACATGATCTAGAAAGAGAGGTCCAACGTTACAAAAGGGAACCCCTAGATCAACAGGCTTATAGGACAGGAATTACCAACATTCACACGAAAACAGTGACAAAGATAATGGGCCAATACCATGTGAAAATAATACTTGGAATCCACCCACCACCTATAGCAGAAGAAGAACGACAGCTGCCTAGACAAACGAGAGTGGTTGTAGCCCAATTAAGATACGGATTGTGCAACCGCCTCAATTCGTATTGGGCCCGAATTGACAACGCGATACCAAACACATGCCCTGCGTGTGGACTTGGACCTTACGATATGCAGCATCTCTTCAACTGCCCTGCTAAATCCACTCATATTTCTCCGGAATCTCTTTGGACGCAGTCAATACAGATTGAAAAATAATTATAAAAGCTATGTGGAATTAAAAAGAATTCACATATGTAGTCAAAGTGGTGAATCCAATGAACGAGCTTGTATACCTAAACAAATATCAGCTGACTGTCAATTGTAAACTCTCGATTCATATTTGCGGATAAAAACATATAATCATTTTAAAATTTAATACAAGATTTTTGATATGTATAAAATATTACCTTGATTTCCCTGAACCAACGGGACCAATAATGGCCACTAAAGTGCCAGGTTCTATGCGTAAATTTATATCATTCAAGTTGTAATCCGAAGCACGTGGATCCCATTTAGCCTTGAAATTGTTAATTATTATACCAGTCGTAGTAACGGTGCTATGACCATTTGCCACCAATGGCTGTTCCTCAATATCCTTCCCCTGTGATATTTCATCATCCGTTTCTCTAATATCTTTCGCTGCATTATTATCATTGTAACAACTGCCGCTGTTCGATTTATCCGTAACCTGAGTCTCTTCAGATAACAAAAATGCCTGAATACGTTTAAGGGACACCAATGTTTCAGCCAATATCGATACACCTAAAAATTGGTTATTAAAATTATTTGTCATTTGAAAATATTTAAATTTGTGTTTATTTTTACCTTCTGGAAAAAATAATGTCATAGTGGATCTTAGAATATTATAATAGGCTGCGATCAAAAATACCTTTTCGGCGGTTAGGGTATTACACAACAGAACAAAACCGACCAAACTTAGGAATACCGATACTCGTGTTAGAAATATAACATACGAAAAGAGAATGCCCCGTATGTACGAAGAGTAACGAATGCTGTTGATTTCCTTTTTGCGGGCATCGGTTACAAGCTTGCAGAAGGCATTCTCCCAGGCATACATTTTAATGACCTGAATGCCGGATATGATCTCATTCATCATGCGTACACGTTCATCGGTCAGTGAAGCGGTACGCAAACGCAGTGCAGAAGTTTGTTTACCCAACCAGACTTGCAGGGGAATAAACATGAGCATAAAGGCAACACCAAACACGGCGGAAATATCAATCTGGGAATGGAGGTACAAAATTGAATATTTGTATAATCAGAAATGAATTAAATCGAGCTTATATTTTGTCCTTACCTCACTGTACATTCGGTATGTTATCATGCATGTTAAAATCGGACCCACCCAGAGATAGTGCAACAGTGTCGTCGCCACATCTAGACGTCCAACATCGTTCGATATCAAATTGATCACCTGTCCCGCCGAGGGACTATTCACAGTCGTTTTACTTAAACGCAATGATTTCCTATAGATCAGACTGCACATTGCCACTCGCATCTTCATGCCCAAATGCATTGTGCCCATACTGTAGATATGGCTGAACATAACATTCATTATACTGGACACTATAACCCCAGCTGCATACAGATATGCCATGCGTCTATCTTGTTCCCCACTTGTATAGTATGCTATTAGTCCCATAAGAAATGCCGGTTGTGATGATCTGAAAAGAACAAACAGAAATGTTGGCATGTACAGGCATGGCTAATTCATCTCAAAATTTTACCTTGATCAGATATACTTGTATAGACTCAGTGGGGTCTAAAATAATTGCATAAACAAGTTACCAATGACAATAACAAATTATTCTGTACTATGATATGCTTACCTCGATCCCAATTCCAGAACAAATAATATTAATCCTAAGAATGCATAACGACAGCCAAATACCCGAATCGTGGCCTTGAGAAGACTGGGCTGTTTCTTGCAATATGCTTTTTGATATAATTCCTTTTGCCAAGATTGGCATATTTTATTTCCAAGGATCTCTAAAAAATAAAAATTGAAACAAGGTAGTTTTTTAAATTAATTATAAACATCCTAATAATGAATATCGAATAAATGAATTGGGAAAATCGACAATCATACAACGGATCATAATACGGAGTTGTTTTTTTTTTCTTGTTCACCTACTTCGTATTATCCTACCTTGTATTGTTGTACCATGATCAGACTGAAAAAGTTTAATTTTTAAAATTTAAAATATTCTGATTTTTATACGGCATCAAATTCCCACGCATACATTCTGAGTGGGGCTCTTAACATCATTGAAGGAAGCCTGGGGCCATGTGTCTTCAAAAACCACTTTGTGGAAAAACTTCTGAGACAGGAGTGGACTCAAACACGACAAATTCAACCATCGTAGAAAACCGAAGAAGCCTAGAGACTTATAAAATGGTTGAGGAAGTGAGCAAGGACATCAGTTATCTGGGGCACAAAGTGAAAAATAGCCAGCTTGAACCGAAGCAACAAAATTGAACAGGAAGCCAACGCTAAGAAGGATAAACCTGAAGGGACCCCCACTTCCTCGTAAGTGTCGAAGATAAGTCGGTCTCCGTTGGCTGATAGCAAAATACTTTTTGATACTGATCTGTTGACTGGGGTGACGATGCTGGCTCTAATATCAATAAGACGAGCGCTGCATCCGAAATTAGAGATACGTAGTCGAGAGCAAAAGTCGACTTTTCGATTATAGTCAAAGTAGATTTTTATACCCTTCAACACACTGTGGTATAGGGTATTATGTCTTTGTGCATATGTTTGTAACAGGCAAAAGGAATCGAGATAGACCAATGGTTCATTTTGAGAATATGCATAGAATCACTTTCTGAGTAGATTTATGCATGTCCGTCCGTCCATGTTATTTTGTGAACAAAGTACAGGTCGCATTTATGATCCGATTTAAATGAAATTTGGCACAGGTCACTAATTTAGCCCAAGGACGAACTCTATTGAAAATGTGATAAATCAGTTCAGATTTAGATATAGCTCCCATGGTGCACCAAACTCCCAACATTGGTTCGATTGAGACAAGATTTTGCACAGAGTACAGAATGAGGTCTAGATTGATGTGTGTCGAGTTTTGTTGAAATCGGTTTATATTTAGATATATATATATATATATATATAGTTTCGTCCGATTTTATGTAAATGGAGCACCAAAGAGTTAAATTTAGGCCGATTGGCACAAAATTTTGCACAGCGTACTGAATTAGGTCCAAATTTATGAATGCGAAGTTTCGCTCCCATATATAGTTTCCTCTGATGTTATGTAAATGGTGCACCATGCTGCCATTATTTGTCCGATTAAGACAAAATTTTGCACTGCGTACTGAATTAGGTCTGGATTGATGTATGCGAAGTTTTTTTGCCTTTGATTAAAAAGTCGTCAATTTTCGACTTTCTGATCTGCTGCAGTTTCTCTCTTTGAATAGTTCAACAAATTGTTCATTTATTTCAGTCAACCAATTTGGTCAGGATGACAGGGAATATTAGATACCTATCAATAGTACCTTGTCCCGATAATATAGAAGCACAAAAGCAAAGAATTGCGCTTGGTTTTTTGGTACCCAATGACAATTCTTTGCGAGAGCATTATTAAGAAAGAACAAATAAGTAAAACATGAGCAAATCGAGATGTACAAAGCCAGCATAAAGTCCGGAAATGTTACCAACGAGTAAAACACTAAACTGTAGGCATTGGGAAAGGCACTCTAATAAAGATGAAGAAGGAAAGTTGTTGAACGATACTGATAGCGTGTTTAGGATCTGGAAGGAACATTTTGCAAAGCTTCTTGTGTCAAATAGTAGTGAAGAAGATACTCTAGAACCAGTAAGAGATGGCGGTATAAAGTGTATACCACCTAGCAAAGGTCAGAATAACTATAAATCGACTAAAGCAGCAGGTGCTGATGGGTTAGCCAGCCATACTATTCAAGACCGGTGGACAAATGCTAATAAGGAGTATGTACCAGCTAATTAATACAATCAGGATAGATGAATCCATGCCCAAGCCAAGAGTAAATGAGGTTAATGACGAAAACGATGCGTCTGGAAAATTATAAAAAAATACCCACAAGGAGAGGAAGGATGCAGTCAACAATAAGATCATGGAGAACCTGCTGCAAGGGACGGACCCCATTGAAAGCTTCAGTTGAACTGTTCAACCAATTGTTCAAAGGGAGCAAATGCGTACATATGTATAAATGCTGAACTTATTAAATGTGAAGGAAACCTGACCTACCCTACTAGTAAAAACATAAAATTACTTTTGCATTGTCGTTTTCTACACGTGGCTATATGAAATATGAAAGTTTGTTTTACTATACAGAATAACAACAACCCAATGATAAGGCCAAATAATTTCGCGCCCCTAAAGATAAGCTTTTTTATAATAAATCAAATAAAATAAAAAAGTGTATGTATGTGATTGTTATAAACATGATGCGTTGACTCTTTTATAATAACGAATGGTAAATGTTATCACCCCTTCCCCCTACAAATTTTTATATTTTGATTAAAGTAAAATCACATCAGAATTAGTCATTAGTCCTTGTCTAATTAGCCATATCCTATATTAATCTTTGAAATACAACTGCTAATAAGACACAATTCAACATATATACGTTATTTTTAAAATTGAGAGATATATTCAAAGTACAACTAGAACAACTAGAGCTATTAAATTTATGTTAAGCACATCCGATTGCCTCCAATAGTTTTGTTAAAATTGATATTTACAGTTTCCTTCTTATTCGCTGTGTATGTATAGGTAAGCAAATGCCCCTTGTTGGATATTTATAACCCCCAAAGGTTTAATTTCACAAATCTCACAAGGTTAATCTGGTGAGCGTTTTTATAGTGAACATATATTTTCCTCGGAAAGATTAGACCCGCAATAAGACCTTTCTCATCGATTATGTTGTGATAAAACACATGCTAATAGAAACAATTTCCCAGTGTTATAAGTAGGAGAATAGCAACAATATGCATATGTATATACTATGTCTGAACACACGTGAAATAGTTATAAAAGATAACAAAAAATATAAAAGTCTACTTGGTGATTGTGAACTACAGTGGCTCAAAAAAAACTGTATCAAAAGCATAATTCTATTTTTTGTTATAATTTACCTGATTCATGTTCACTTAATGCTCGATATAGATCCTCGGTATTAAGAGATTTGTTACGTCCTTTGAAAAATGTTGGCAGTGTGTACCTATGCAAGAAAAATTAAACAAAATAAATTCGATTTAAATTGTAATTGTCAATTCGTAGCAATCGTTTCTTAATTCTATAATTAAAGATAAATAATCAAATAAAGCTATTACCATACCAATAACATAATCGAGCGAATATATTTGTACGTTCGTAAGGATTCTGAGGTAATTCATTTGGTTTCACCGATTGCATTCTGTCAATTTCCCGATCATATATATATATATATATGGTAAACTGAAATGAAAAATGAGAACCAAGTTTAGAATAACATATATGGAATTTTTAGTATATATATATTGGACATGTGGATACGGTAACACAACCAGAATAACGGATTTCGAACTTTGAAATGAAACACGCAAAAACCATAGCATTAATTTTTATAATTTTGCATTTCGTATATTGATAACTTCATCGAAAGAATTTTTATTTACATTTATTATGTTCCTAATCTTCCGAAATTTTGAAATTTTTATGTAGTATACCTATATGTATGAAACCCGTCAAATTGTTTATCAAATTAGCTGATTTCATAAACAATCCTTGTGTAATTGCTTCGTTAGTAAAATATTTCTTCGAAAAACAAATATAAGAATGAAAGGAAAATTTTTTTTATTGCGATACCCTTAATGCGTTGTGTCAATAGCGCCTCAATAATATGAACTATTTATTATTATGGTCTGAGTGCTATCGTATTTAGCATTCAATAAAATCACTATACCTATTGTCGAAAAACAGCTCTAAAACATGAGACGATCTTCAGTGTGGATGCTGCAGTGCCATTTGTAAGAATTTATTTTTAAGTGTGTGCAAAGGTTTCAGTTATTTTACACAAAAATAAAATTGCAGAGAGTCTCCTCTTCTTGTAAATATTTACAATAGGGTAATTGAATTTGGATACAGTATTGTTTACTTTCACAGATCACCCTTTTCTAACAATCATGAGTAGAAATATGAAATATAATAAAAAATTGTCCAAAATTATCAATATCAATGAGGATTGTTCTGAGGTGTCCTCCGAAGAAATATCAATATTAATTAAGCGAAAGTTATGATTACAGTGAATATTCTGGTTCCACTGAAAAGGAAGAAATAGAAGGATCTTCGGATAGTGAAGAGGAAATCTTCAATTTGCATCGTTACAAGAAAAGGTCGCGGGTTATTTCTAGTCCTGATATCGAGAATGAGAGAACGAGTTTTCCAAGCACATCCCGAGAATTAATAGAAGAAATTGATACTGTCGCCGACGGGGCACGGTGGGTGAAACTGAAAGCAGGGAACTCTGGGGTCGGCCGACCGTTCCTACTATATTCAAGGATATCAAAGGGCCTACTGGTTACGCAAAAATAAATATTATGTCGTTGTGTAATTTGATTTGACAATTGAAGCTCAGATTATGAAATATACAGAAGACTGCGCCGAAACCGAGGGACGTCGGGTTTTGGAGAACGACTGATGAATTACAGCCTGGAGTGCATACGTAGTAAGAGAGTTGAAAGCATCTTGTCTATGGTCCAAAATGGGGACCTTCCTTTTTTCTGAGACACAATTACCAGAGGTAGATTGATGCAAATTTTGAGATTTATACGCTTTGATAAGAGAACCGAAAGATTTCAAAATGATAAATTTGCACTCATTTCTGAAGCATGGAACAGATTTATAATTAACATCCAGGTTTGTTATAAACCACATAAAAATATGCAAAAGCCGGTTGAAAATTTACACAATATATTAGGTTTGGGAAAAAGAAATCCATTATTTTTATATGAACTATATGACTTTATTTAACATGCTTCGGAATGTCCGATTTGGGCCAAATATGCACCGTTTTGTTGTATGATTTGTTGCCATTTAAAGGTAACTTCTCTCATAGAAGTCCTGCTCTCTATTTACAAAAATTTTTATCATCAATTTTTTATCATCAAAGAAATTTTACAATGCAAGAAACAGATGATAATCGCTTGGTGCCAAGTTCGGACTGAATGGCGGATACATTAAAACTTCCCAACCAAGCTGGCAAGTCACTGTAGATGTGTGTGGCCTAGCGTTGTCCTGGTGGAACACGACACCTCTTCTGTTGGCCAATTTTGGCCGTTTCTGGCCAATTGCTATCTTCAAACGGTCCAGTTGTTGACAGCAGAGATCATCATTGACCATATGGAATCAACCCATAATAAATAATCCCCTTGCATAGCAGAACCTTCCTGGCCGTTAGTCCTGGTTTGGTGACCGTTTGAGGCGCTCGTTGACCAAGATCGCACATGGTTATCGTATGTTATCCATTTCTCATCTTTAGTCACCACCCGTTTAAGAAATGGGTCTATCTCATTCCGTTTGGCCAAGGCTTTGCAGATGGAAATTCGATCCATCCTATTTTTTTCCATTAATTGGTGTGACACCCAGACATCGAGCTTCTTTTTGAATCCAGCTTGTGTAAATGGTTTAATTCAGTTTTATGGTCGATTTTTTGCTCCGATGTTACGACTATTATCGACATTTACGACGACCGGCAATGGATTTATTTCCCCAACCTAAACTGCATAGATTTCGAATAAGGTTTTGAATATTCCGTCCGCTTTATACAATTTTAACACTTTGTGGGGTAGGTATTAAAATGTGTGGACTGATAATCCCCAACCTCAAACAATGTAAGGGCTTAGTTAAAATATTAGATTGTTTAATAATAAAATAAATTATCTTCAAAATTTGGCTGATATTTACAATCTTCTAACTTAATCTATATTTGAAAGCAAAGTCTGGATGAAATCACTTTGAGTTAGTGCCCCAGACAGCCAAACAGACAGACAGGCATTTATTAATTAACTCCAAATTATCTGGAACGGATTTGGTCCAAAGAAACGTTGGGTCATAAACCGATGAGTCACATTTTTATTGAGCCGATTTAAACAAAATTCAATAAACGATATTCGAGGCTCAATTATATATACCGTGCAACCGTACAGGTGACAGATATTTAGTGCAAAATTAACATGAAAACATATGGAAATTTTTATGGAAGCTATATTTAAATCTTAATTGATTTGATTTGAACCAAACTTAACATACTCTATTCTATTCTCCATCAATTCGATATAGGAAGTTAACTTCATCGGACTAAATGGACATACACTAAATGGACATCCGACAGCTTTTAAAGTTACTCCAGTGACAGCTGCTCATCATATTGTTTACAAGCGTTCAAAAACATTTTGGTGAGAATTTTCCAGAAAAACTGTTATTCGTGATGGGATTCAAGCGTGATAGTGTGATTTCTTTATATTTGGCTGGAAAACCACAAGTGGCACTCCAGCATTTAAATGTGTATAAATCTTTTGTGTCTCGTAACATGACTCGAAAAGTAAAGAAAGGAAAGACTTGATCGAAACCCGCGTCGCAGTGGCCGAAAATGGCTCGTGAGTTGAACATATCGCAATAATCCGTTCGGCAAATATTGAAAACTGAGCTCTGGGTAAAGTGCAAAAACTTACACCGCAACAGAAAGAAAATAGACTCAAAAAGACGAAAGTGGTGAACTGCCGATGAGAAAACATTCGTTGTCCAGCAATTTGTAACCAAACAAATTTATCGTGTTTACTTGCCAAAGACCGTGGCACCAGAATTAATGCCGAATCTTATCGCGAAAATATTCTGGAGGGTGTATTAAAGCCTTGGGCACGCAAACATTTCGGCCGAATTATTGCCGGCTCAGTGGCCGTTTGAAGGCCATAATTCGTGCCAAAGGTGACCAATTCGAACAAATCTGAACTTATTCTAAAATTTAATGCCATTACTGACATTTTTTGCTTTTATTCAATAAAATTAAAAAAAAAAAATGTAAAAATTATGGCGTTTGACTTTGTTGCAGTTTTTTTATCTCAACCTGTATACGAATAAAACTGAGTTGTGAGATGTCCATTCGACGTCACATCATAAGGTTGGTTGTTAGTCAGACATTTCTCCAAATTTTTATATTTCTTAAAAAAATCCTTTCAATATCAGTGCCTATATGTTACATACATAATGAGAATATCTCTTTGTCGGTTGGTTCCATGGTATATTCATTATAAGGTAGGACAAAGTTGCAATCTGATTGTAATATTTTTCGATGTGGCTTGTTCTCAAAATACATATTTTGTGTATGTGTATATAGTTTTAAATACCATGTCAAATAAATTCAAATTAAATTGAAATGCATTCAAATTTAATCGAAATGAAAATATATTTTTTTATCGCGTTAGTCTGCAAGTTATTAATTTGTTATGGCTGCAACAAACATTTCAAGGTATTCCCTACTGCATTTTAGAATGAAATCATAGCCTATGATTAATTTTTTAAGATCTTTATTATGTGTTGAAAAATTTCAAATAAGCGCAACAACTTGTTGCGTATATTTATGTTATATTTGACAGAAGAAACTACAATCTACATAGTTGTTTTCTGATATTCCCAATATATATAACAAAACTGAGCCGTTATTACTTGTTGTCATTCAAATCGATAATTCAAAAAAAATAAATAAATAATGTTTAATTAACACCTGTAATTTAATTTTTAAACAAAATCTATGACGGCGTGTGGGACAACGGTTAAACACTAAATAAATGTTGGAAGTGAAAAATTCGTGGTAGTCTATTGGCAGATGGTACTTCTTGGGAGTAATAATCGAATCATTGATGTCGATCATATTGTCAATGTAACAATATTCATATGTTGACAACTTTTATAGTACGTTTTTTTTTCATTTTACTTTCAATTTTGTTTCTCAGCAAATTACGTTTACAACTAAACATGAAAAGATCGGATGTTAACCTTCACTGAGATAATATTGTCTGTTGTCGTCGACGTTCTTTGAATCTCACTAAATATTTTTTTTTTTTAATTTTTTTAATATTTTTATTTTATTTCACTGGATTATTGTCTTACGTTTATTACCCGTTGTTGCCTTTTTTATCATTGGAGCAGACTAAAACTTTTGCCAGACTGGCAACTAAAATTCATTTCTTTTTATGAATATGTGTCTCTTATATTCGACACATAAGCAGATGAATTTACACAAGAAACTTTTAGGGTTTAAACTTTCCACTATTTATTTGAAGACAAAAATTTTAATTTTTTGTGAAAACCAAAGCGGAGCTTATTTTTTCCAACGGTTGGTTTATAAATAACACTTATATAATATTAACGTTCGAATT